ATATCTCATGTTAGTGAAAAAATCTAATTTGTTGTGTCAAAGCAAAAATGGGAAACATTTGTTTTAATGTAACCTAGTTTGGTATTGTTGTAATGTCAGTATAATTTTGTTGTCCAAATACAGAGAAGTTTGGCTTTTGAATATAGCTGTATGAATACAAAACAAGAAAGAAGGGCTGTCCTCTGGGTTTCCGGATATGTTTTAAACAGTATATATTACATAAAATTATGTAATGCCAATCTGTCTTATGAAGTCCATAGTGTCTCAAGGCATTGTATTCATAGCAGAGGTTAAAAAATTTAAAGGGTCCACTTTGTGCATGTTCCTTTTAAATCTTGCCTTTCATAACTGTGAGTGTAGTAGACGGCCTGTGTCACAGAAATTTAAAAAAAAAAATACATAAAATTTGTTTAAATGAACAGTTAATTCCTAGCCAATCAGAAATGTTTATTCAGAAAAAAATCAAGGTGACAAGAGAGACAAGTCTATTATTTCGCATTCCATATTGTTTTAAGGTAATGCTTATCTGTCTTAATGCACCAAGGTAACTAAACCCCAGTTTTCAGATTTACATGTGAAAGCACTCATAAAATTTGGCAGTTCTGGTAAAAGACAAGTCACAATTAGTTGTGGATTGTTTTACTTAACACTATGTAAAAATGTACCAATAGCCATTAAGAATGTCTCTCCCAAGTTTATGAGAGTGTTTAATATTTTAAGATGTACTACTGATATGGTTCAGGTATATGATAAAGCATCTTGTACTTACTAGAGATGTCACTGGGGGATAAAAGAGGTTTGGGATTGAGTTTTTTGTCATCTCTAAAGATACTTAATGAAAAAAGATCAAGAACTAACTTTCTGAATGAAAGATACCATTTTGCTGATCCCTTATGATAATACAGTGTCTTTTAAAAAGTATGGAACTAAAAAGTAAAGAATTATGTGAAAAGAAAAAAGAAAAATCCAGAAGTACTGTGGGCAAACATTAAGGAGATTAAAAAAATCTGGCTTGATTCCAGTTTTTAATCACTGTACACATCTCAGTTTTCCCTTCATACTTGTCTCTGCTTATGTTAGATTTTTATTTCAGCTATGTGAGGCTATATCTTAGCTCACATTTTTTCTTGTGTTTAGATTTTCCATGTGTTACCCAGATAATCTGGTCATGTACATCTGCTGTCCTTAAAGTTCAGCACTGCATACTGACGCTAGGCCCTTCTCTGGGGATTTTTTGCTGTGGAACATGGGGTGCTATATGAAGTATTTAAACATCTATAATAATGATAAACATTTTAAAAAGAAAAAAAACCCTAATTTTGAAGAAAACTAATCTTATTTAATCAATCGCAAGCTTATGTTTTCCTCAGAAGAACATGCAACAACAGACAACAGAATGCCTTGGAGCTAACAAAGTAGAGTAGAGCTTGTAGGCTCCCTCTTCAAAACTAACAGTTTTTTCCCCTAATATTACTTTAAAATATGTGTTTTGGGTGCATGCTTTACATTTCTTAAAAATGGGGTTTGCCTACCATCTTCTTTTTATACCATGATTCATATGAAGGATAGGAGGCAGTAGATGGAATTAATTACTGGTTTTGTAAACAGTCTGCTCAGCTGCCTGTGGTAGTTCAAGGGATTTGTTCTAGCCGTGTTCTAAGTAACACAAGCCCAAGGAGTCCCTTACTTCCTTCGAGTGCTTTGACAGCTAATAGAGATATCTCAGGAAATCTGCCCTACTATTCAAGTCCACGTTTTGGGTGGTTAAGATAGTCACTTTCTTTATGATTCCTTGGACCCTTCTAAATTACTATTTCTTTCAGATTTTGTAACTTGTGAGTAATTTTAGTGGCCTATCATGTTCCCTTTAGCCTTTCCCTTCTTTCTGACTGTGCTCTCTTGCATCTTGTTTAGAGCAGATGTACAAAAGCCTTTTTACTCTTGCTGTTGCTATCCCAAGATGCCATAAATATAGCCAAAATCTTAATATAAACACTTGACTCAAACTTCCATTGCAAATTCTAATGTGGTAGCAATAGACCCTCACAGATCATTCAGCCTTAAAGGAGCTATTATATTGACAAGTTTATATTTGCCAAATCACTTATCATTCCTTGACAAGAGTAAGAAATACTGAGGCTTTTATAGTCAGCTGGGAGATGGGAAAGAGATTCATTGCATAGGAGGTTAATACAGTCACTTTAAAATGGAATCTTTTAAATAGCCATGGTACAGTATTTCCGTCCCATTGCAGAAAGGAGGTCGATGGAAATCTTGATAGTGATTCCCAGAGTACTTGGCAAGTATCTTAACTTATTAGTCTCTCTGGGAGGGATTCACATAACCTAGTTTTAGAAGTCCTAAGGTAGATAACGAAAATAAATCCCATGACTACTACTGTAGAGGTCTCTCTTTCTCCCCACTGATTGAAAAGGAAGTGTAGACAACTAGTTCAAATGAAGAATTCTGTATTGTTGAGTATGTTTATATGGATGAGCTAAATCCTACCTGATTTACCTAGAGAGTGGATATTAGGCTTAGATTCAGCTGGCCAGAAACTGTGGCTGTTGTTTACCAGAAGATTCAGTTAATATTCTTCTTATTGACTAGATATCTTTTCAATCAACTGTACTATGGTTGATTTTATCTTAATTATTGATTTCAATAGAAAAAACAGACAAAAACCTAAAAAACCTAACCCCCAAACACTTCTGCCTTAAATCAAACATAACAAAGCCCCAAAGTTGGGTGGGTGTTTTTTTGGATTTGGTTTGGTTGGGGGTTTTTTTTGTTTGGGGGGTGGGGGGTGTGTGTGTGTGTGTTTGTTTTTTTTTTTTTTTTAAATCTGGTTGCTCTCAGAAGAAAGCACACACAAATTGTGGAAAAGGTGTAGCAAAAATTCTGGGCAAATTCAGCTGTAAGAAACTCAAAACATGAAAAATTCTGAAATGCATTGTTTGAGGTAAGAATAATCAGAGGTTAATTATCTATAAAATAGACATTCTGGAGGGCAGGGGGAAATTTCAGGGTTTGGCAGCAGAGTGAAATGAAAATTTTTAGAGAAGTAGTTTTTAAAAAAACAAGTTTTGTTCAAGAGGGCAGGGGAGGAAAAGAAAATAATTAATTTGGAGGCTTTGAGCATAGTGAGATGACGATAGAAATTTAAAAGCATTGAGAAACTACAGGAGAAGTGGGAGTCATGGCCCACAGACTTCCTTGGGGTTTTTAAATCGTGTAAGATGCAGCTTAGCATAAGGTCCCAGGGCTTCAAGACCACTCGTGTTCAGCAAGAAAATCTCCAGTCCTCTGGGCCCATTTTGTATTGTAAAGTATCCTGGATAGAGAGACGCAGAGAGTCTGAGGTTCCTAGCAGCCTGACAAATTAACATAGTAGATATTGGTCAATGGTTATTTGAAGGTTGTCATGATGTTGGCTCCAACTAAAAAGTAAAATTAAATTTTAGAGGAATTTGTAATATATTGCTGTCCTAGGATCTTCATAGTTAACAAACTAAGCTTGCAAGGGCACTTATGTTTTATATGAAAATAGAACAGTTCATTTAATCTAAATTTTCAGTAAAGAAAGAAGTTACTCTGGGTGGAACCTAAAGAACTTTTCTTCCTTAGGTCATCTGCTGTGCTTGTTAGGGCTCTCGGTAAGAAGCAGAGGCAAGAAGAAAAACATTATTAAGATTAACTTTACCATTCTTGCTTTATCTTCGGGGAAAAAAAAAGCCAACCAATCAAAAAAACCCCAGCAAAACAGTAACAAATAAAAAAACTGCAAGAACTCTTGGGTTCACGTCTAATCAATGTATCTCATTATCGAGAGAATGTTGCCATCTAGTGGACAACAAAACTGTATCTCAGCTCTAAATTGCACTGCTTGTATTTACTGTCTTAGTATAGATTTTTGCAAAAATTGACTTTATATGTATATTTTCATGTTCTAGATTTCTGCATGCTCTGTGGAACATTTCTCTAGGTTATTGTGTGTGCAGCTTTTCAGAATTTAGAGCCTGAAGGTTCTGTGCATCATAAACCAAGTAACTGAAGTATTTTCTCACCTTCCATGAGGAAGGATCTATATGGCATGATAAATATTGACAAAGAATTTCGACATTTGAAGTTTTTCATCTTTAATTGGAAAAGTTAAAAAGCAAGGCACCAATTCAATTTTATTTTTAATCTGACAGGTCCCTTTTTTTCTGCAAAGATTTTACGTGTCATTAAAAATAGAGAAAATGAAACACTGATTTCTGAACTTCTTTTCCTTTCTTCTACATCAGGAAAACTTACTTTCTCACCTTGAGAACCTCACACTCTTTGTATTCCTACTTACAGTCTTTACTTTTTACTATGCATTTAATTATGCACGATCCCCCTCCCTCCCAAAAAAAAAATCTTATGCTTTACATCTTTTGCCCATTCTTCTACCCTAAGCAGTTTGTATAGGCCAAGATTATCTGTATCTGGTCGTCAAAATGTGTTTCATCCAGACTGATATGGGAAACAAAAAAGTTGGCATGCTGCTTCCATTGAGTTCTGGTATACCTTGGGAAAAACACTGACTCATTAATATCAAAACTGTCACTGACTTTTAGAAGAGTCAGGACATGTGTTTTGTTTTGTTTTTTCCCTCTAGGCTCTTCCCCTCCTCTTGAACTAAATTGTAGGCAGGAGACAAAGAAGATAAAGCCCAAAGCGTGAATAAGTGCTTACTTGTTCATGCTGGGTAGGAATTTTGTGGCAAACGGTCACTATTTTTGCATTAGCTTCCTCTGTATTAAAACAGTCTTCTTTAGATAAATCTTAAACTGCATGCCTAGAAGTCACTGCAACCTCCAGATGTTTAGCCCATAGCTTCTGCATTGTGATCTTGCCATAAGGTCGCTATGGGAAAGCTCTTCTGTTCCTCCATTGCCCGTGGCGGTTCAGAGTATGTGCTCTCTGTCTTCCTTGCCTCCTGGTGACTATAAATCTTTGTTGAAACATTATATTATTTTTATTCATTAATGGTAAGCTTGCAAGTAGCGCCTTTTCTGTATTCACTGTGTATATGAACCCCATAGTATCAGCCAGAGAAACTTACTGCTTTGTAGGCACAGAGGGGGAATACCTTTCTGCGGAGAGGTCTCTAAGAGACAAATTCAACCATCTGGAGAACTCTCATCTCCAGTCCACCATACTCAGGATTACAGTTACTAAGGAACGATTGGGATAAGTTAATTTCCATGAAGTAGAAAAAATATTTTCCTTCTTTCCTAAAAGTTATTCAAAACTATTTGAGGTTCATTACTTAGAGAACATCCTAAACATTTCTGTGGTTAGTGTTGATAGATCAAACTGTGATCAAGCTGTGATATTGGACTGCTGGTCTCTGAGACTGGCTCAGAAACTTGGGTATGCCCTGGTGTTGCAGAACTGGGTTTGTTCTTCTGTGGGCAAGATGAGTATGTTCAGAGCCAGGCATGTAAGATGAAAGGAAATGTTTTGGGTTTGGGGTTTTTTTCCCTTTTTTTTTTTTTTCCTGTTTGTTTGTTTTAGGTGTTTCATAAGCTACTTAGTTTCAGTGAGGTAATTTTTTAGCACCTTTCTTTTCTATGTTAATACCTGAGGCAAAGTGAAGAAAGAACCTTCTGCTGTGATTAATCACAGAAAGTTTATTTTTTCCCCTCTGTGACTGATGATCAAAGAATCTGAAAAACAGGCATGTCTCCTCCTTGACGTGTTTACACCCAGGAAAACATGCCTTGATAGAAAGGAAGCTCGGGGAATGAGAGCGCCTCTTCTGGCTTATGCTGTTTAATAACATTATAATTAGACTCTCCCTATTTAATTAGCATTTATTGAAATAACATCACTGTTTGATTCTAACTACTAGTTCTCATAGTTAATTGATAGTGTAAGGTCAACCACTAGTTCCAATGTTATGTGGATGGTTCAATTGTTAATTATTGGTTATAAATTTTGTCTTAATTTACTCCCTAAAAATAGGTTGAATCCTGAAAGGTTTCTTTTCCACAGTCTCAATTTCAGGTAGCTAACATTTATACTGAGACATATATTAGTTAAATATGTAGTTCTTCAATCTTTATTCCTTGTCTTAGTGATGCATATTGTTTAATGGAACTGTGCAAAGCAGCAAAGGCTTAGTTCTGTGTGGTTTTCTGTATCTTTTTTGTTTGTTTGTTTCCCTAGGTTTTATGGGGTTTGGTTTGTATTCTGCTTTTTTCTGTTTCTGGCTGCTATTTTGTTGAAGGGACTTCTGTTTTTTTCTTTAGACTCTTTTGTTAAAACGCCTTTTTCTTCTAATGTAATTGTTTAGGGTAAGTGATGAAAAAGATGCTCGAGGTTATCTTCAAGCCTTGGCCTCTAAAATGACAGAAGAACTAGAGGCCCTGAGGAACTCCAGTTTGGGTGCAAGAGCTACAGTAAGACTCTACAGCCATATGTCAGATTTTTTCGTTGTTGTTTGAAAAAACATTAATTTGATAGTTTCAGCTGCAGTAATAACCTGTCTGTAGAGCCTGTGTTAATCAAAAGTTAAACTTTCCTAGAGCTTTCCTTCTGAATAACTGAATAGCAAATTTATTGTTTATCAATGAATTAAACACCAATATCTGTGTAATGTGATTTTTATCTATAATATTGTTCAAGTAGCTACTTTATAATCATACGTTAATTTGTTGAAGGAAATCTATACTTTGGGTCATGAAAGCCTTAAAATCTTTTACTTTTGAAATGTGAATGTCCTTCATAGCTGTCATTTGAATGGAGGCACATCAAAACTAGAATTCACAAAATTTCTTTGCTTTTGAGATCATGACAGCATAAAACATTCATCTTGCCTATTTAGTACTTGAGTTTAAAAATAACAATACTCTTCTAATTTTGTAATTTTAGATTACTTTGGAATTAATGAACTCTTATGTTAAGAACATAATAGACGGGGAAATGTAATTTTTGAAGTTAGTTACATTCCGCATTATGTGCCTTTTTTCCCCTTCTCCCTTTTTTTATTCCTCACTAGGACATGCCCTGGAAGATGCGCCGCTTTGCAAAACTGGATATGTCTGCAAGGTTGGAGCTACAGTCTGCTCTTGATGCTGAAATCCGAGCCAAACAGGCTATTCAAGATGAGTTGAATAAAGTCAAAGCTTCCTGTATCTCTACAGAATGGTAAGACTGACTTGTTCTGATGGAAATTTACTTTGATACCTTCCAGGGAGTGTCATCAAATCATGATTTTAACTATCTTGTCTGTCTGACATTTGACAATGAATGATATGCCAGTTTCTTATATCCAAATGTGAAAAAAAGACCATATCTCTCTTCATTGTGTAAGCAGCTGAACACTTACTGGGAAAATTTGAAATCTTGAAGACTTTCAGAGGGCACACTTTAATAATATAATATCTCCTAGTTGTGATAACAAGTTCAAATGCAAGCAGAGTTTGGGTTTGTATCTTAGAACATACTCTCTTCCGTTCTATTCATAGCTGCATTGGGTTAGCTGAGGAAAATCAGTTATTGCATACTCATTTGCACAGTAATAAGATGTGCTTATGGAAGATTATGAATTCTTTTATTCCTTCCTCAGACCTCTCTCCCTTCCCCCTCACCCCCAAATTACAAAATTTATTCTGAGTTGGGTGAATGCCTGAAGCGGGAGATCAGTAGGAAGACGTTCCATTTCTAGGTCTCCAGCTTCAATCTAGCTCAGAGCACTGACTTGTTTTGCAGCTTTAGGAAAGCAGTTGGACAGAGCTGAGATTCAAGTATGTTATCTGTAAAGTGGGAATACCTTGTCCACCTGACATGGGTGTTTTTCAGGCCAGGTGACATGATGATAGGCAGCACTGTAGATCCTCTAAGAACAGGAGAACCAGTGTTTGCTTTGATAGGCAAGGATAAGAAGTGTGGTAGAAATGCGTAGTAGTGTTACCTATCTGCTGTGACTCAGAAAGCACTGAAACAACTAACTGTAAAGTGACTGAGAAGAAAAATAGTTCAATGTAATCTATTAGTATTACAGGCACTGCGAACTAAGAAATTAAAAAAAACCCGATTTTGAAGCATAAAAATACATGTGGTCTTTTTTTCCCATTCACAGGATACAAGGTCACACAAGTACTCATAAATTAGAAACATGAGCCTGTTTAATGGGTAAACGGGGGCAATTAATTGCTTATCCTGGGTTTTTTTAAGATACCATAGTAAACAGATCCCATTAGATTTATGAATTCATTCTGGCGTTTGATGACATCATGAACCTTGCTGGGCATTAATTTTTAAATAGCATGCGAAGATGGACAAAAAAAGTGACGTGTATCATGGGTTCTCAGTATTTATATAGGTTTTTTGTTTGTATTCTTTTGAAGTAAACTGCAAGAATCTGAGAAGAAGAACATGGAACTGTTGACAGATATTGAAAGGCTGAAAAAGGAGACAGAAGAGCTTAGATCAGAAAAGGGTATGGCAACTGATATCCAAGTAAATAACATGTTTCACCTTGGTGGGTACATCTTATCAATTAAATGTCACCTTGCAACTGAAATACGATGCCAACAGACTTTGACATACAAAATGTGAGCACAATTGCATGTTAAGATGTACCCACAGCAGTTGCATTTGCACTTCTAATACGTACTTGTAATACGCTTCAGTTTTGTTGATATACTTGAACCAGTAAGGCATTATTTGAGTTAGAAATGCATTATTTTTATTTGGCATGTGTATGGTGACTTACTGCCAGAAAACAGTTACAAGTATAGATATATTTATAGTTTTTTTCCCCTTTATGGTGGGTGAAGGTATTTAGACTTCAATACTGATCATAATATTCTTCATCTATGAATGTTTTGGCCTTGTCTACACAGAGAGTAAACAACTGCAGAGGCGTTCATAGCATTCATTTGTTTCTGGGATGACTTCGTTGATTGGCTTTGTAACCACGTAGTGAGCAGTGTGGTCATGTTTGCTTTGCTGTGGTATTAAGAGCATGTTCTGGGATTTCTAATGCATCTGTCTAACAGTATTTTGCATTGTTGCTGGGAGAAGAGACTTTCTGGTAATTCTGAAATGAAAAAAATTTTCATTGAGAGGTGATTAATGATTTGGCTGATTCTTTGCAGTTCCCGTAGTAGCGCTAATATTTGTATCTTATGAGTCACATGGGAAGAAGTGATTTTTTCAGACCAAATGGAATTACCTAATTTTCTGTAGGGAACTGTTTGAACTCCAGAGTTTCAAAACCCTGGCAACAATTGCTGCATAGGGATGTCAAATATTGTTCAACCTTTGCAACCTAATGGCATGTCAATCAATAATTTATCGTAGTTAACATTCAGCTCCTATATATAGGCCTCCAAGTGCTGGTTGACTGGTAAATATAATACAAACCTATGCAGAACAATAAAAAATTACTGGTGCTGATTAGGAAATAAGACTTAAGGAATTGATACTTGTTCATCTTGATGCTTAGCACTGATACCAGGATTATGCTTCTTCCAAGTGCTTGGAGAGGAACTCTTGATAATGTCTCCCCGGAGACAATAATGCTTTGTCATGTTTAGCTTTCATTTATAGATTCTTGAACTGTCTTAAATATTATGCATGGTTATTTGGCTTCTGAAATCTTCCTCTGCATAAACAATGTTAAGAATTTATAATTAATATTTTACCCTGTATTTTTTCAAGTGTTGAAAACCTCACTGTTTTTGTGAAAAGAGATAAACATCTACTCTTTTCTTTAAAAAAAAAAAAAAAAAAAAAAGAAAATGTACTGTTCAAGGAAAACTTAGTTGTTATGCTTTTTGCCAGAAGTAGATTAATAGGATTCTACTGCAACTATTCAAATATTTTGATAGAAATATACCTTAATCCAAAATCCTTACTATCTTTGGACTTAGGTTTCTCTTATAAGAAGAAATATATTGATGTTTGAATCATGAACTGTATAGAGGATTCAAATGTAGTCAATGTACAGTGGTAGAGTAACTTCCTGTGTGTGGAAATTGATTTCTAGGAAGGGATTACTTAGATTAGCACTTGAATCCTTTGTTCTTTTTAAATGTGTTCCAGAAACTGAGGAGGGTGGGGAAAAAGAGTGCTAATAATTATTCTGTAAAGTAGCAGGTAATTTGAGAATTGTTTTTAGTCTTTTACTGGGGTTTCAGCATATTTATGTTTTGAAGAGGAAAGGGTTCTTTGTAACTTCTTTATTCACTGTGGGTTATAGTTAGAGCAAACAGGGTGATATGGCCAGTTAGAGCAAGATGCTGACATTTTTTAAAAGAAATAAGTGACCTTTGATAGCATCACTCCTTTGGGATGCACGCAGACCTGCAGGCTCTGCCCATAATAAGTGTGTATATATATAATGTATTTATAGTGTTCAGGAAGGTAGAGTTTGTACACATCTGTGATTTATAAACACCCACACAGCAACTTGAATTATTCCCCAAAGAAAAGAAGAAAAAAAATGTATTAGTTGAAGCAAGTTAAAATAACAGTCAAGATGTGCCAGCCTCTGCAGCTCCAGAGGATGCAGCGTTCCTGCTCTGCTTACTGGCTGAAAACCGTGTAAATGGTGTAGCGTGACAGAGACATTTGAAGCTTCACCCAGGATTCTGTTACTCCTGGACATTCAAAAGTGAGAGGTGGCAGAGAGGCATAGAGCATGGTTTAAGGAACTCGTATTATTTGGAAACGCAGTGTGTTCCTCAGACAGCCTGTTCTGTACGTTTTTGTGGAACCTCACTGTTTGCTAAAGCTGCCTTGTCATGGTAGGCTATCCAGCGAGTGACTAGAGTGGGGATGACACCTGCTGTGTTAGTGCGTATGCCTGTATGTCGTGCAGCACATGTTGCAAATGGACATAAGCACGTTAGAAACCTGTGCCTTCTGCATAACAGACACGTACATACAGTATGTTTTCATGTTGAAATTACACCACACACATCCTAGCTTGGAAAAGGTTAATTAAACATATGCTGCTTGCTTAGTGGGTATGTGCCTGTTAAAAAAATCTTTTACTCTGGAAAACAGACCGAATGTGGCAACTCATTTCAAAAAACATAGGTGGTTCAGGTGGATACTCAAACCCTGATTCAGCAAGGCAAAGGTCCTCCATGAAAAGGTCATTTTTCTGTAGCTTAAAAACCTGCTGCTGTTTTCTAGGTGTAAAGCACCAAGACTCACAGAATTCTTTCTTGGCATTTTTGAATGCGCCTACCTCTGCTCTGGATCAATTTGAAGTAAGTGTACAGCTATTCTAACTCTCTGTTAGCCAGTGGAACTACTGCTGTTACGCGCAGGTTATATGCATATTTGCTGAGAGTTTGCTACTGTATTTTAAACATATTGCCCCATTTATATTTGTGTATAATAATATGTGAGAATTGTTTGTCATTTGCAATGCTGGCTGTCTTCTCTTGAACACTAGTAGTCATAATGAATTCTCTCTGAAACCTTGAATGCAGAAATTTTTCTGATTTTTGTAGTGAACATGAAAAGCGTAGTTGTTCAAATCTCCTTTCTTTGTATTCAGAAAAACGCTAAATAATGCGGATACTGGTTTGGTAAAAATGAGAGAAAATACGTAAATAATCCTTGAATGTATTCCATGAAGTCATTGGTACCGTATATTTATTAAGTTGTTTTCATCTTCTGTTCCTTTTATACAGATCCGTAAAATCCAGATAATTACTATTCATCTCCTCTCCCCAGATCCTATATGCTTAAAAAATAAATCTGTTTAATTCCTTTGTCACTTTTAGACAAAAGACCAGTTTAGGTAGAAAACCTGGAAGAAAAAAATTGAAATGATGCTATACATTTCATACCTTCAGTAATCAGTACTTTTAATCAACAGTAAGCAATGCATCATTTTTCTTTTAGAAGAACAGCTGGGGTGAAATATTGGTCAAACTGAATTCAGAGGGGACAAGGCACCATCTTTACAGTTATACATGGGTCTAAAATTTGCCCCTGTGTTTTTTCCTGATGGGTGTACAGGATCATCACATTTAGCTATGAAAGAGCGTAATCCCTGATGTTACTGATGTTCCAAAATTTACTTTCTTTTCATTGTGTAGTTGTTAATTCATTGTTCTCTCTTGAAGTCTTCACAATTAATACCATTTTTAAATTTGCTTTTTAATTATTGATCTTATAAGTTACTTTCAATATAAAAATCCTGTTGGAGTGTAGGAATATTTATTTTATTGAGGGAATGCTGGAAAAACATTGGGTTTTATACAGGTAGTTTATTGGTTAATTGTCTATGAAAGGCAATTAATGAAAACTTGCTGAGGTAACTGTTACTGGCATTTGTTATTTACAGTTCTTTATTTTTGCACTTTTATTTATACTGAACAGTTCTCTTCATCCATCTCTTTCTCTCTTTTTTTTTACTGCTGTTTTCATTAAAATAGGATTCCTTTTCCTCCTCTTCATCCTCATTGATTGATTTTATGGATGACGTAAGTCTTTGACTTTCAAACCAGTAAATCCCTCAATAACAGAGATTAGTTGATTCATTTGAAATATTCAAACATTAATGCAGTCAACTTAAAAAATCTACAAGTGCAGTGGAGAACAGAATATTTCTATAATAGCATACTTACACCTATTTATATAGATAGATGTTCAGTTTTAAAGTAAATGTTTTTCTTTAGGTGCAGGTGAAGAATTCTTAATTACAAACAGTTTTTCTAATGGGGAGAAGCTGCTTTTGGGCCTTATCTACTGATATGGCCCATGGAAAATTGTTCCAAAATCACTGGCACATTTATTTCATTTAGTTCTATTGCTTCATATTATTACTTTGTCCTTAGTTGTTTCCAAAAGTTTTCTGATCACTTTGCAAATGTTTTCCTTGCATACAGTTAATTTCTGTTTGCTCAAATAAAAGTTTGTCTGCTTTTTAGCCTATACTGTACGAAGTAATTTTCGTTACAGCTGAAGTGAACTTACTACTTTTTATTGCCATTTGATCTGCTAGTTTTCTGTCAGGGCAGTGTTTAAATATTTACCCTAGTTAATTGCATAATAAGGGAATTGAGTTAAAAGCTGAAAAATGACTGTATTATATTTCTTCCAGACTGAAGTAGTAGGCACCTAAAAGTAAACAATAATAAGCTTTTTAAAATCAAAGTATATACTATGCATCCATGATAGAGAACCATTCGTTACAACTCTGTAGATATGTATGTACATCAGTGTGTACTTGTATATATGTGTATACACGTGCACACATATTTATACGTACATATTTAAAACAGTATAATCCTATTTGCATTAAACTGTGATATAATTAATCTTAGTCTAGAAATGTCTGCTGTGAAGGGTGTAATAAAGAGGGTATAGTATATGGGCCTATTCTACTGATTGCATTTCCTTTCACAAACTGAAAGAATGCTTTTCTTCTAGATGCTTTTCTTCTAGATGCTTTTCTTCTAGATGCTTTTCTTCTAGATGCTTTTCTTCTAGATGCTTTTCTTCTAGATGCTTTTCTTCTAGATGCTTTTCTTCTAGATGCTTTTCTTCTAGATGCTTTTCTTCTAGATGCTTTTCTTCTGTAAATCAGGTATATACCATAGACAAAATGAGAAGGTACATCTGTGGTACCATAGTAGAAGGTATTGGCCTGCATTTTTGTATAGCATATAGAAAACTGTTGTGCTGATACTGTTGGAATTTTCTTACATGAAAAAAATGAGAGTACAGTTTCCTGTCATGTTAAATCTACAATAAATAAATAATATTTATATCCTTTATCTGGATTAAGGAAGTGTTCTCTATGTTGCCTGAGTATTAGGAACACTTAGTTTGTATCAGCAGGTTTTTTCATAGAAAGCTACCTTGAAAAAAATCTAATACTCTTGTCCTAAAATCTATTAAAAGAGAAATAAAGTACGTATGTGGCAGAGTAGCTGATAGTGTTCTATTTTGCAAGGGGAAACTTTGTACAAGAAAATTTTACTGGTTGCTATCTAGTTAGTTTTGAAGGACATCAGTACTTTATTTTGTATTTGTTGTTGGTTCTTTTTTTTTTTTTTTTTAAAGAAGGCAACATATCTTTTTCACAGGCATTTTGATAAAATCACTTTTTTTTAATCTATGCGAGTGAATAATTTTTCAACTGTTGGAGTACATCCTTTAAGACATTCTTCTTGATTGGTCCACCCAGATCAAATCTTTTCAGATACCTACCTTTTAGTCTTGGGTAAAACTACAGGCATTAATGTGTGTATTGTTGCAGGTAGATGACTTACTACATGCAGAATCAAACTTCCCCTGTTCTCAGTTGCATTGAGCAAGAGTACATTTCTGGACTGGACTGGCCAGGGGCTAACGTCTCTTAACACTGGGGCAGAATTCTTTCTCATCTGGCAAAACTGCAGAAGACGACAGTTGACTTGTGCTTAAAGTCAGTTCTGCATCTTTCATTTATTGGACAATTACTTAGAATCATAGAATCGTTTAAGTTGGAAAAGACCTTTAAGATCATCAAGTCCAACCATTAACCTAACACTGCCAAGTTCATGACTAAACCAATTAAGGGTAGAGTAATAATTAATTTCATGTTTTCTGGCTTGGTGGCTGGATTATTTTTTAATGAAAGTAAAACTAGAATAGAATCATTAAGGTTGGAAAGGATCTCTAAGATCATCAGTCCAACTGTCAACCCAACCACCACCATGCCTACTAAACCATGTCCCAAAGTGTCACGTCTGCACGTTTTTTGAACACCTCCAGGGATGGTGACTCCACCACCTCTCTGGGCAGCCTGTTACAATGCTTGACCACTCTTTCAGTAAAGAAGTTTCTCCTAATATCCAATCTAAACCTCCTCTGATGCAGCTTGAGGCCATTTCCTCTCATCCTATCGCTAACTACTGGGGAGAAGAGACCAACACCCACCTCACTACAACCTCCTTTCAGGTAGCTGTGGAGAGTGATAAAGCCTCCCCTCAGCCTCCTCTTCTCAGGTTAAACAACCCCAGTTCCCTCAGCCGCACCTCATAAGGCCTGTGCTCCAGACCCTTCACCAGCTTTGTTGCCCTTCTCTGAACACGCTCCAGCACCTCAATGTCTTTCTTGTATTGAGGGGCCCAAAACTGGACACAGTATTCCAGGTGCGGCGTCACCAGTGCTGAGTACAGGGGGACAATCACCTCCCTGCTCCTGCTGGCCACACCATTCCTGATACAAGCCAGGATGCTGTTGGCCTTCTTGGCCACCTGGGCACACTGCTGGCTCATGTTCAGCCAGCTGTCAACCAGCACCCCCAGGTCCTTTTCAGCCAGGCAGCTTTCCAGCCACTCTTCCCCAAGCCTGTAGCGTTGCACAGGGTTGTTGTGACCCAAGTGCAGGAACCAGCACTTGGCCTTGTTGAACCTCATACAGTTGGCCTCAGCCCATTGGTCCAGCCTGTCCAGGTCCCTCTGCAGGGCCATCCTACCCTCGAGCAGATCGACACTCCCACCCAGTTTGGTGTCATCTGCAAACTTACTGAGGGTGCACTCAATCCCCTCATCCAGATCATTGGTAAAGATATTAAGCAAGACTGGCCCCAACTTCATTCATTCATGGAGAGGTTCATAATATATAGTCTCTGAATTACCAAAATGAATGGTTATTTATGTTTTAGCTCATTGAGGTGGTCCACTATCAATCTATTAGGCAGACTTAAATGAAAATAAGGGTATTAAAAATCCCCTCCCACTGGATGTGACCTCCATTCCCTTTCCAATGTCTCTTTTTGACAGTAGTTGCCTTGAAGGGCAGTGTTTCTTGCAGCATCTCAAGAAGAATTAATCTGTGTTCAGTCAAACCTGAGAAGTGTGGAGATTCTTTATGTTAAGTCCAAGGAAGAATTAGAAGTCCTCAGGTCAGATTCATGCAATATTTCATGGGTTTCAGGAAAGCCTCTCCTGTACTCAAGAACCCAGAGTAAATAGAACTAATGGCACGTATTGTTTCTTCAACCTTTGTGCCTCGTTAAGAAATGACAGAGAGAGCATAAAATAATATGCAGTTGCAGTTCCATAGCACTCTCTGCAAGATCTCTGAAGTCTATTTAAAACAGAGATGTGTAAGCAGCACTGAGTTTGGCCCACTGATTACATTTGGAGTTTACTAGGGTAGGTATGTCTTGTGTGTCTGCCATCCAAATGACAAAATTGTTTATAGCACTCTGTGAATGACTGGAGTTAATTCTGATTTTTTCAATGACAAAAACAGTAGTTTTGCAATTTCTACTGGAGAGAAGTAAAAATAGATGTCCTGCTGCCTCTGTAGCCTGCAGGTGCTGAGCAAGGAAAGTGGGAGCTCACTCTTCAGATGAGTAGCAGTCACTGTTGGTACCAGCTGTCCCTGCTTGAAAAGATACTTGGTCAGGTTGGCAGAACTGGTGCCTAAATCCTCATAGCTGCGAAAGCCCATGCATTCAGAAACAATCCTTGTATCTCCTGTGCACACAGGAAGGTGCAAAGGGGGGGAGGAATGGATTTTGCTGTCCCTGGAAGTCACCCCCCACGACTCTAATACACTAATTTCAAATTCTTTGCTGCTGTTTCTCCTGTGTGTTGCAGGCTGTCTCTCAGTAATGTCGTCTAGGTGTTAAGTCTCGTGTGTTCACTAGAAGTGTCTGGTAATGGAAGAGTTGGGTTTTGGTTTTTTGCCAGGTGGATCTTTGTATATCTCACTAGCTACTAGAAGCAATCAACTTGTTTTATTTAAAGATGAATTTGTGATTATTTAATATCAATAAAATGGAATCCCATTTTCCCTTGATAAAATTATTTTCCCCACTTGCTAGAAAATATTATTTTTCCCCTGTTATCAACACATTACAAATTAAAAATAGATTTCTTAAATTCTCCTGCAATCTGTCGTCGCATGCAGTCCCTGTGGGCTTTGGTTAAACTAAACAAATGTGAACTTTGTAAATAACCACAGAATAAATCATGTTCTGAATTCTCATTATTAAATAGAATAAGCCATAGTAGTGTGTGGTGAGAGCCCTGACTGTACCTGCACATTCATAATTAAGTTTAGAATAATTCTGGTTCTTAATGATACTTTAAATTGAACATATTGCGCCTCCAAGAGATTGCTTTATTCATCTTGTTTAAAGTACAGAGATGCTAACTGCAAGTTATTAGTGTAATGTAGTCTGCAGTTTCACTGCTATTGCCCAGTGTAAAACTGCAGACTTTAAAATAACTGCTCTTTTTTTTTGATGTTTCTTCCCTCTTATTGCCCCAGAATATCTTGCTTTCAAAATACTTCTAAAAATGAACATGTTTGTGTGTGTCTAAACACTACCTCTGGAGGTACAGAGCAACGAATTCTGATGTGTGTGTCACTGTTTGGTTTTGTAACATATTCTCCTCCTTTCTTTGTTAAAGCGCTCTCCTTCCTGTATTCCAGCTAACAAAGGCAGACGTGTAAGAGGCTGTCTTACTCTATGTGGCCCTTTATTTTTTGCCTGTTGTGTACATGCCTTTGTTTAATGTATGGATCGTGTATTTACCTCACTGCATGTCTTGTGCTGCTGCTACTGTTCGCTGCTGCTGCTGCTGTGCTTTTTGTTGTTTTACAGCTGTGGGCTAAAAGCTTTTGGAGTATTTCATCTGGTAATTCTATGAGCAGAATATCACAGTAACTGAGGAAGATGCTTTGGGTACTTTCTCATTTCAATATTCAAGTTCTTTGTGAAAGCTGATCAGGTAGATGCAGGTTGGGAAGATGAATAAATACTAAATGAGAGCCTGTTTGTTTCCTTGCCCTTAGCAGAGGACATGTGTTGAGTTATGGGAATTGCCTATAGAAGGTAGAAGTTTGGCATTTGGGAGGCATGCCATAGCAAATGATAGAAAATACCAAAGTACAGAGATAAATAAACTGGGAGTGGGGAATTGAGTAAATTGGAGCATCAGAGAGGGCAGGAAAAATTCATACAAGGAAAAGGGAGTTGGATGTGTTGTAGTTTGTTAAGCTGGAAAGCTCTATGATATAGTTTCAAAAATCAAGGTAGGTTTTTAAACATGGTGTTATCAAAGCTTTGTCAGACTGAATTCATACCAGGTACGCTACATCCATTTTAAACTCATAATGCCACTTTTGTTTCTTTTATACACATATGATAATAGGAATAGGAAAGCATACAAAGCATTTATATTGAATATTCAATAAATAAGCAATAATGCCCAACAGGTCTAATAATGACCTTACCTATGCACACTGCTCACTGTCTTAGGCAAGCTTACAGTAACTGCTTGTTTTTGTCGGCTGTGGCTCCAATTCAGAAGTTTATCTCTCTTCAAGATGTATTTATACACTGGCCAGCTTTCGCTCAGACCTACACAGGTGACACCGTGTAGACAACTAAGCACAGTCCTGTGGAAGATGACAAGGCTATTAAAATTTTGTAGGAAATACTGAAATATGCTTTTGATAATCCAGGGGATTAGTTTAAAGCTAAAACTAATTTTACTGGTGTTAATACAGTCCACATAAGCTTTTGGCCATAGTTGAGTCAGGTTGCTTTTGTTCTTAATTCTTCTCACTGAAGCAAGGAATGTGGAGACTACTGCAGCAATACAGCTTAAAGCCCTGTTTCTGCAGTAAAGGTAGTGGTTAAATTCCCTTCAAATTCTGTAATGGTAGATCAGATTCTGTGTGTTTTGTGGGCTTTTTATGTTCATAAGTAAAGTAAAAATACATTTGTTACTGGTTCAGCAGTTGTCTTCAACCACAAAGGCTTTGTAGCACATTCCAGAAAAGTTCCATCATTCATATCATGCTTGTACTAAATTTTTTAAGAGACACCATGAAAATTCTCTGGTATGCAGATGCTACTTTGAAAGGGAAAGCCTTTGGAGTATCTGGAAACATTTATGAAATGATAGATTATATCTCTGAGTTTAACTTGCAGAAGAAAAGGAATGTCTGTTTCTTGCTGTGAAAAATTTGCCTGTAGTTATTCATTGGGCTTATTTTTTAATAACACTTCTAAGAATTGTTCAAGGTTAAATAGTCTTTGAGTGGACTCCAAGTTATCACATGTTTAGACTTGATAAAAAAAAAAAGTTTAAAATAATTGAAAGTGTGTTCTGTGTCTGGGGATTTGCTACTTAAAGGCATCAATGTTTCTAATACTGGATAAAGCTTCCAATTATTACTTGCTTCTGATAAATCTGAGCACAAAATGTTTGCTTTACTGCTAATTTTTGCCTCAATGCTTGAAACATGATCTATGTGTAGAAAACAGCTGTATCCCAGTGTGAGAGTTTCCTGTTTTCAATACAGAAATACTTGCAGGCATCTTAATATGCCTAAGTTAATTAAGCTGATGAGCATTTTCCACTACATAATTTTTTTGAAGGCTGTGATAAAACTAGAAGCCATCAAATTTAACTTACTACTATTTAAATTTAAAACAAAAAAGGGGGAGGAAAAAAAAAACCCAAACCAGCAACTGCACCTGTTCACTACCATAACTGAGTTTCTGGGGAACAGGACCGTATATGCATGTATTAAGATTGGCTTGGCAATGTATTTTATTCCCAAAAAGCAGTAAAATTTGTGGAACTCTTAGTATGATGTCAATGGCAGATGAGATAAAAAACACTGGAATGTTCAAATGCTTTCTGTAAATGTCGCTGCATATTTTAGTTTGTGTGCAAGCTAGCCAAATCCTTAGCAATGGGGAACTAATGATAGTATTGCTCCAGAAAAGCCAGGCATGCAATGGAGCCTTCTGTAGGCCTCCAGCTTTTAGTTTTATTATTAGTGGAGAAAAGCATCCTCATCTCGCTGTAATTTAAAAAAAAAAAAAAAAAAAAATATAAATTTACATAGCAACTTTGATGAGGAGATGTCTTGTTTTCAAGGAAAAATCCTGCATTCTCTGATTTTCCAGTTGCACTGACAAAAGATGACTTGTTATCCAAGATACCTTGTTGTACCTATATGCCTTGCCGTTCAGTGTAGTTCTGTGTTGGGCTTAGTTTCATTGTATTACAAGGACTAGGAAAATATTCCCCTGAAGAAACTGTATTCCTGGTAAGGATGTTTTTGTAGTTCAAATGGCATACAAAAAAACCCCTCAGTTCTCTGTGAATATAATTAACGCTGACCTCAGGAAATATGTTATTTGCTCTGCCTTTTCTCCTTATTTTCTCCTAAAATTGTTTGCAGTGATTTACATGGGCTATATGGGAATTCACTTCTAACAAATCTCTGCTACCAGTGGATGAAACCCAGTAGTGTTTAGAAAATATTCACCCTTTAAAAATGCTGAATTACAAGTCTCTTCAAGTGTTCATCAGGTCCCTGAACTAGCAGCTCTTATGCATGTGCTTACCTCTAAGCAGATGCCTTGGCGTGTTCATATTCAATAATTTTCATTGCATTTTGTACTTTAATTAGGAAGTTGCTTAGAACTGAACTTTTATCCTGTCAGTTCTCTCAGGAATTCCACTGCTCCGATATCTTATTTTGGTAAGGACTGAGAATTCTTTTTTAATGAAGTCTTTGATTTATTTTTTCGTTTTTTTGTTTTTGTTTTTTTTCTCTTGAATTGTTCTCCTAGATTGATTCAGTTGAGAATTTTACATTGTCTAATACTCCATCACGGGATGAAGATAGCAAATCTCACCTCCATTCAAGATCAAGGTCTCCTTCTACAGCTAGCGAGATTGAACCAATCGAGGTACTTCAGTGTTGACAAATTTTTGTCTTTTTTTTTTTTTTTAGGAGTAACATTTCACTCATAAAATTGCTATTGCAAATCCTTTTGTTTAGAATGAAGCTCACTCCTCTGCAGCGAGATTATTGAGGACCTTATAATCGCCTTCTGCACTAGTGGTGAACTGTATTCTGGGGAATGTTGCATTTCCTTCACATACAGTTAATTGATTAGGGATAGGAACTGTGTTGAATCAATTATTAGATACAGTCTCTCTTCATAACATATCATCAGTCATGAATATTTAAGAAATGTTGGCACAAAGTTGATGTTATACTGTAGTTTGTAAGAGCTCACTGAAAGTCTTGTCCATACGAAATATTAGCCAGGCTCTGCAACTGTATCCCCTTTCGCTGTTAAAAAATTTAACTCTCTGATTATTTTACATTAGAAAAGATTCAGTCAGATGTTTAAGACGGGACGTTGTAGTCTTTTTACTTTATTCAAGTTATGTTTGATAGTGTGTATTTGATGTCTTATTGATCCTTTGGGGACTATGTTCAGGTTACAGATCATCCTCCCCGTTCAATTCACACACCAACCATGAGGACAGCATATATTGGATCGGGACTCTCTGCACCAAAGGTATTCAGTCAAGCGTTCACACTTTTTATGTAGGAAGGGGGAAAATACCACTTCTGGGCAACAGCTTCAGGAGGACTGTTTATCACAGTAATATTACCAGAACTGCCTAGAAGGGTTGTTTATATGCAAGCTGATTGCTTTCTAAAATTTAAAACTCCTCATTCTTACATTATGTGGTGTGACAAGTTGTACTAGGCTTTCCACTGTAGCAGCACACAGGCATTTGATTGTAGGAAAAACAGTAGTTTGGACACTAGAGATAAATGAATCAGAATGTGAAGAAAGGAAAAGAGGCTTCCTAGAAAGAGAGTGTTTTCCAGCCCTTGTCTGACTAACATGCCTCTATCCTCTGCGTAGAACAAAACTGATGTCACTGGGGGCCAGTCTCAGATTAGCACATCTGTGTGCTAATTAGATGCTTATTTTTGAGAAAAGGCAAAGAGTAAGCCTAAAATTAAACTGTAGATTTGCATTTTTTTTGTAAGCAATGTAGAGTGAGCACTACAGCTAGCACTGCAGCACTGGGCTGGGAGAAGGAATTCCAGTTTTTCTGTCTTCTGGCTTTTCACTTGCATAAGTACTGATTTTACATCAGTTGTTGAAATCATTCTGCTTTTGGCCAAATAAGCCAGTCAGTGTATGCTAATTCACAGTGGATTGTGTGTATTCAAGCAAATGAGGAATAAGATACAAGCTATTAAAGGAAATAATTTCTCATAAAACTTTCAGAAGTGCCTTGATGGCTTAGGAATCTTCTGTATATTTTTAAAAAAATGACAGTTTTTCTGCAACTAATCAATGAAGTAGAGTCTTTCTAATAGATCTGTTTCTCTGCTTTGATAAATTGCAAAATAGCGAAAGACTTCATTGTATAAAGGAAAGCTCAAAAGTTTGAGCAGACAGTGTTCTGTTGGCAACATCTTAGTAGATCAATTAAAAAAATACCCTAAGTACACTTGGAATCATGTGAAACAGATTTTACTATGCACATCGTTTCATTTTTGCAAATATTTTGCTCGGTAAGTAATGATTGGCTTTCTAATTTATTGAGTTCCCTAAAAACCTTTGTACTTTATGATTGCATCAGTTTTTAAAGCGAAGTATTGTTTTCCTGCAAGTTTCAAAACAAGACATCTATCTGTAGACAGAAAGCTTCCATTGTAACAGTAAAACTGTCATTAAATATGGATGAAGTTTGAGCCCTTAGCTGCGGTATCTTATGCTGTGAAAAACAGGAAAGTGAATAAAATTTTAATATACCTACTCATTAAAGCAGTCTGCAAAATTGTCTTATTTCAGATCACGTACATTATCCAGGCTTTTTGGACTGCCTTTGTGTTCACCCTATGCTGTATCCTTTCTCCACCTACCCGTTGTTACTTAGCTGGGACTTTTTTTAGAAAAGCAAAGCAGCTTCCTGGATTTTGTATAAGGCCTTTTATGAATCATACTACCACATTACGTAGTCATTTAGCCTTGATATCATAGCATCAGCGCTGCCTTCCTTGAGAGGAGAGAATTAGAACACTTAATTCGTGTAGTCTGTGTTCCCAAGAACTAACAAGAAAAGAAGCCCTTTCAAAATCAACTTCATCTGTACTCTTGCTTTTAAATTGGATGTTCTGAAATTGGCTGTGCCTGACGCCATAAAACTGAACTCTGTCGTGCTTTCTGGTATAAAAATTAGAATTTTGAAAAAGTCTGATATTTTTATTTGAACTAAGGCAGCACTCCTTACAGAGGAGCACTGAATTTGCAGCTTAGAAAATACTGCAGTGGGTTGATCTTGGCTGGCCGCTAGGTGCCCACCAAGCATATACACACACACATGTTCAACTTCTAGAGTGTAATGGAATAATTTTGGCAACTTTCCTATCTGCAATGGAAGCAAACTCATGTTCTGAGATAAGGTCCAGTTTCCAGGGTTCCATTTACAGAGGATGGTTTAAATTATCAGTAATGAGTACTGATAAGGAATTTTTTTTCAGCCCATGTGTTAGGAGCTCAGATCTCATTTCAGCAAACACAAATAAGCTACCTTTTTAAATGCACCTATGCACTCTTACGTCTGTGAAAAAAAAATAACTTCTCTTCAGAATTGTTACAGGTGTTAACATCCTTGTATGCTTGTTTCGCAGCCTAAAGCCCACCAGTTTGTAGTGAAATCATTTAATACACCAACAAAATGCAATCAGTGCACATCTCTGATGGTCGGTTTAATACGACAGGGCTGTACTTGTGAAGGTAAGTGCTTCTGAAAGCAGGAAATGTGAACTGAAGTTCTTATAGGTGCAAATTGCACAGTAAATGCTGTGGTATAATAGTGCAGGAGCCTTCTGTTTGTGTTTTGAATAGCAGAATATATTCTTATGCTTCAGTCTTTTAACAGTAGAAGCCAAACACTTTGAACATCTTACGTAACAGATTATCTAGTTGTCTGGGGACATACTTATTCGAGTTGGTGGTAGAAGAGCTTAGTTGAGTTGACTTAAAATGGCAATAAGGGGCCACAGTCAGTGGTGAAGTATGCTGACAGCAGCTTTGCTTTCTGACTGAGGGCAAAATGTAAGCCAGCTTTGCCATTCAGTACCAGTTTTGCTTCTTTCCAGGACTAATTTAGTCTAGGTTTGTATGTACACAGAATGACACTCATTATTTCGAGGAGTATCCAGCTATTTGTTTACTAGTAGAGTTGGACCTAGAGGAAATCATAGACATTATCTCAGTATGAGCTTCTGATTAGGCTTTTTCTTACCTGGATGAAACCAGACTGTGTATCCATACATCTCTGAAAATGAGAAAATCAGAATTTAGAGCAGATAAAATCATGAACTGCTGCTGTGCACACTTACATTTCTGTTGCAGTGTAGCAAAGTTCAGTGAAACTACTCAGTTGTTGGTCAAAAAAAGAGAGGATTCCTTTATAAATGTCATCATCATTATCATAGCTTTTGCCTTGCACAAAAAATGACCATCAAATCTTTTTGTTTCTTCTCCTTCTCACAAGTATGTGCATTCTCTTGCCACGTGACCTGTGCAGACAAGGCTCCTGCAGTATGTCCAATCCCTCCCGAACAGACTAAGGGACCTTTAGGAATAGATCCACAGAAAGGCATAGGAACAGCTTACGAAGGACATGTCCGAGTAAGTATCAAGTAGCTGCGTTTGGGGCACTTAGATTAAATTTGTTGTTTTCTGGAGCTGGTGTTAAACTCTGACTGGGGTGTGGTGGGGGATGGATTCAATTAAGGTAACAGTTTGGAAACTTAGACCTAAATTTTCACAAAGCAACTCTTAGCATTTTCAACAGTAATTCTCTCTCCCATCTCTGTCAGCCATTGTGCTCTGAGTTGGTCTCAAACAGTCCATCTCTAGAGATCAGCTAATCTTCCAGGGCCTGTGAGTTTTTTAGTCTTTCTGTTGATGCTAGTACTGTCTAGGGTCATTGATGTGGATACTTGTACATAAATACTAAAAAAATTACTCAACATAGTTTTGGCCATAGTTGACCAACTAGAGATGGGTTTCTTTCTCTATATTAGTTAATGTAGGTTTGAATGAGTTTGGGAAATAAGAAGAAAAAATCTGTGGTGCTATGAATTTTTTAAATAATATGTTGTGGTGTCTGTGTGGCTGTGTTTGATGCTCTTACTTGCTTAACATTATCACTGAATAAAAGCTTGTCAGCCTAGATGAGAGAATTGATTTTTATACTGTCTGTCTGATTTTTGATTGCATGCAAACTTACAGAGAGTTGATCAGAATTTATTTTGCTAAAGGTACCAAAACCGGCTGGAGTAAAGAAAGGTTGGCAGAGAGCACTGGCAGTGATCTGTGATTTTAAACTCTTCCTATATGATGTAGCAGAAGGAAAAGCATCCCAGCCCAGCGTGATAGTGAGTCAGGTCATAGACATGAGGTAAGCTGTTTGGTGCTGAGTTGGAGCTTTTCAGAGGCACTGGGAGGTTTTTTTTCTGCTTTTTCTTTTTGTGAAATCAGTAAGCAAGCTCCAGAACTTCTATGAAACATTGTAATCCATGTTGAGAGCCCCTAATTTTCCAGAAAAAAGTAGTGTTTGCAGTTAGCCTGAACTACACTTCTGTGTTCATATGTGGCAATTTAAACTTCCATTACTACATCATGTGCCAAAATGCATCTGTTCAGATGTGTAGAAGATCTGGAATGAATAAAGAAGAAAAATACATTCTTTTGGAGTTGAGTTTTGAAAGACAGATAAAACTTTGTTATGGGATAGAAGTAATACAATTTTTGATTCAGAAGGGCTAAATAGTTTGTTCCCACTGTCTTCAGTATTACTGAAATATGCCAATTTCATTAAAGGTTAAGAACATTTAACATACCAACTAAGTAAAGCTCATCTCTGAACTAGGTTAGTTTATCCAGGAAGTCTTAAACAGCTTTAGCTTGTAGCTTATAGTGAGTTTGGATTTTTATGAAAGAGTTGGAGAGGTGTTCTTGGTCCAGGCTTATTTTTTAAGTTTGATTATTTTTATTTTTTTAAAAAAAGGTTTTAATTTAAACAGACAAAAGAACAGATACTCCGAATAGATTTATCTCCATCAGCATTTACCAGGAATTAATTATGCAACATCGCATTTGTGCGTTTCATCTGCAGATAAAGAGGAAAGGATTATTTTAAAAATTAGATCTCAGTACTGTCTTCTTGTGTCCTTCACAAAACAAGGCTATTGGTACTATAGAAATATAAGTAAAAACCAAACATACAGATTTTACTCTTTAACTCTTTTCCAATTATGTTTGTGGTTTACATAAGGGATGAAGAATTCTCAGTGAGTTCTGTCTTGGCCTCAGATGTCATCCATGCAAATCGAAAAGATATCCCCTGTATCTTTAGGGTAAGTATTACGTCTTGAACCGAGTAACCTAGAAGTACAGGGTTTCACAGTGTGATGTACAGTGTGCATTCACTGACAGCTTGCTAGTATTTTATTTCCCTTGCAAGTTCTGGCCGTGTGGTATCCATGGCAGCAGCAGCAATGCATAAGGATCTGTATATATATCATTTTTGTGGTAAAAATAGCACTGGTACATTTAGACAAGCTCTTATCTCCCCTTTACGTGGGTTTTATTTTTTTAACCTTCACAATAAGATGTACTTTTCTCAACCTCCTGTTAGTCATTTGGAATTCTTCTACTCTGCATGACCTTCTACACTTTCATTTCCTAAAGTTGCCTTCTGCTTCTCAATTTAATTTGTGGTGTTATTCCTGAAGCCTTTATTTTATGTACTTTCTTTGTATATATGCATTGGATCTCTAAAAAATCCCATTCATCAGGTAGTCAGTATAGAAATCTAGTGTAAAATGCTCATCAAAATTTGTGTCTATTATCTGGTATCAGGATTTTGCCATCATTGACCTTTTCTAATATTCTTCTTATTTTTGCTAGATATTCTGTTGAAGCTTTGACCTCAATGAAATATCTTTGGTGTCTTATTAATTCCCATATCATTTCTTTACTATACCATTGTATTTCACTCTTTTGTTTTCCAGCTTGCAGACTTGTTCATCACTGCATGCTGAGTGGAGATAAACCTACAAAAGGGGCTTTCATTTTTATCTATAGTATCTGTACCAAATACATGAAAAGGATCACAGATTGTTCTTCCATAAAGACCATTCCTATTGCATTAAATTATTAATGAAAACTATTGGTCTTAAAAAAAAAAATACAGAATACTTTGTAAGAAATGCTTTTCATTATAAAATTGCTGTGAGAAACAATTGACTATCTTATTTAGGACAGACATTTCCAAATTATAGAATAAATACAGATGCATTTAGAATAAAGCCAAAGTTTTCTCTATTCTTTGCTGAGTTTTTTACATCTACAGGTTTTTCTCCTGTGGGTTCTTGATTGAGATAGAGCATTTTCTATTAACTAAGGCTAAACTTTTGCATTCTTAGTTCAGACAGCTAATGAAAAGGGCACTTATAGCCATCTGATACCCTTGTAAAAATGATCATGATGAAATTTTTTATCACTTATGACTTAAAATATATATTTTAAAATTTTCCAGGTTACAGCTTCCCAGCTCTCTGCATCCAGTAATAAGTGTTCAATCCTGATTCTAGCAGACGGTGAGAATGAAAAAAGCAAGTGGGTAGGAGTGCTGAATGAATTGCATAGGATATTGAAGAAGAACAAACTCAAAGACCGCTCAGTCTATGTTCCCAAAGAAGCTTATGACAGCACCTTACCCCTCATCAAAACAACACAGTCAGCAGCAATCATAGGTATGAAACGAATAAGAAGAAAGCTCTAAGAACAATGGGTATGCTAAAAGCATGCTTTTTTTTTTTTTTTTGAAAAAAATGTGTTGAATGGTGTTATCTACTGAATAGAGAGTAATATGTAGTGTTTTTATCCTATATGGAAATGTGTATGGGTTTGAGAGAGAAGTGCAATTCACTACCCAGTACTTTTGTCTGATCTTTAAGAATATTCCCCCTGTTCACACACACTCATAATTATGAATAATTTTGACTGAGATTTGGACATTACTGTTTTGTTATTCTGTAAACATAATTCCTTAACTGGGCAAAATTAGCACTACAGAATAGACGTAAATCACTGACTTTACAAAATCTGCTTGTGGGACCAGAGAGAAAACATAAAAGCAGAGAATTAATTTAGTCTTTTAAATGCTACTGCATAAAATATTTTAAATATTTAAGTATGGTATTGTAGTTATTTCAAAGTCGGTAGTACACTTAGGTGCTCTAAATGGTTTGTGAAAAATATTTCCTGCTGTTACTTGTACTAACAGGAGAAATGGGAAAAGACTTATTTTTTCAGAAATTTGAAAGATTGGGAGGATAACAGTGTTTTTTTGTTATGTGAATGTGTTGGGTTTGGCTTTATATTTGTTTATTTCAAGTTATTAAAAAACTGTCTGTGTTAACCAGAATTATCACTATTGCTGAAGAAGTAGTTCCAAAGAAAAATATCCTTTTTTTGTTGTTTTTTTTCTTAATATCATAGACCATGAACGAATAGCTCTGGGGAATGAAGAAGGGTTATTTGTTGTGCATGTCACCAAAGACGGTAAGAGATGAGTAACTGGTAATAATTTCCCTAATATTAAATAATCAGAAAGTGACTTTGTAACCTTTTTTCTCTTTCAATATCCTCTGGTTTAATTTTTCTTGATTTACTACATTATCAGCTGGACAGCCCCATGTGAGAGCTGATAATCAAGAAGGTGTTCTGTGTGCTTTCTGGTTTGGGTATCCTTTCCAGTAACAAAGATCCAGCATCTGGGATGCAGTTGAAGATTTTCTTCCTTTGTTTGAAGCAGGCTGAATACTGAATTCAGACGAGGTTGCCTAGGACTTTGTCCAGTCAGGTCTTGAAAATCCCCAAGGACGGAGGTTCCACAATCTCTCTGGGCTGCCTGTTGCAAATTATTCTCACAATGAAACATTTTTTTTGTATATCCAGTAGGAACCTCCCTCATTTCAATTTGTGACTATTGTCTCCTCTCCTACTGCACCCCAGTAAGGAGCCTGGCTTGATCCTTTCTGTAATGTCCTCCTTGGTATTGGTAATGAAAACTTATGTTCAGTATTGTAAAAAGCTGTAATGACGGACGCCCAAGCTAATTCCAGAAGCAACATGTTTAATTGTATGTTTCAGTTCTTTGAGGGTTTTCCTTTATTCACTAGTTTTGTGGCTATGAACTGTTTTTGAAATGAATACTGAAATAATACAGTGGTTGTTATTACATTGGATCTGCTCCTCCCTTTTTCTGATGAGGAAAAACCAAAGGTCTGTCCAGCATTGCCACATCTGGTATTATTAAAATACAAGTTTTGATTCTGTACTTTTTAATATTGCAGGGAAGCAACAAAGGGGAATTCTTGGGTTTCCTTCATAGTCTATCTTTGCAAATACATATGTTATAATCAATTCACACTTCAACATTATTTACTTGGATTTGGGTTTTTTTGTTTTTGTTTGTTTTTTTTTTTTTTTTTTAGAGATTATCCGTGTTGGTGACAATAAGAAGGTTCATCAGATTGAGCTTATCCCAAACGAACAGCTCATTGCAGTAATCTCAGGACGAAACCGTCATGTGCGGCTTTTCCCTATGGCTGCCCTGGATGGAAGGGAGACTGAGTTTTATAAGCTGGCAGAGACAAAAGGCTGTCAGTCAATAGTTTCTGGACATGTGCGCCACGGAGCTCTTACATGCCTGTGTGTAGCTATGAAAAGGCAGGTCCTCTGTTATGAACTAAATCAGAGCAAGACACGTCACAAAAAGATCAAGGAGATCCAAGTCCAGGGGAATGTCCAGTGGATGTCAGTCTTCAGTGACCGTCTTTGTGTGGGCTACCAGTCAGGTTTCTTAAAATATCCCCTTCATGGAGAAGGCAGCCCATACAGTCTGCTCCATCCAGATGACCACACGCTATCATTTATCTCACAGCAGCCAACTGATGCCATCTGTGCAGTCGAAATCTCAAATAAAGAACACCTGCTGTGTTTTAGCAGCGTAGGGGTTTACGTTGACTGCCAGGGCCGAAGATCTAGACAACAAGAATTGATGTGGCCCGCAACTCCATCTTCTTGCTGTAAGTTGCCATGTGCATCAGTGTACTTGCTATTATACATTGAAGTGATCACTGCTTGTATTAATATCTACAGGAAGGGAAGTTCAAGGGTAATTACCTGACAGGTAAATGAACGCTCTCAGCTTCTGTCAGCATTTTTAATCTAGTCAGAGGATTTAATCCTGATCTCATTTATGCTAGTTGTGACAACTCTGTCACTGACCTATACTGCTGTAGCACAAAGAGGAATCAAGGGTCAGGATTTCTAACTCTGATGTCCAATTTCTGAACACATGGCCTGATCTCTAAAACAGCTGAAAGCCTCAGGTCCTACAGAGGCTAATGGGATCTTTATGCATTTGCTACTACTGATACTGGACTGTTGTTACTTAAAGTCTTAAAATTTGATTGTACTTCGGCTCAGCATTGTGATTCAAGCTTTCTTGATGTTCAAAGTCATAAGGATCTGGTAGTTTGACTTGGTTTTCTCTAATGGTGTTTATTCCTACTTAATGGGCTTTTTTCTTTCCTTACTCCTTCATTCTCTCTTCTTCAGCAGTTTTTGTTGACATTCATTCATGTCCTCTCTTTGCTTTTTTAAAAAGTCAGTTTTTAAGTTTCCCCCCCGCCCCCATCTCCCTCTTCCCCTCCAAAATACAATGTATGGCAGGCAGTGTAGGAAATATATTTCATGACCTTAAGGGAAAAATACTGTAATTTTTCAAGACTTCATTTTCCAGCAAGAACTATGTTAAACATTTATTGCATGTTTTTTCAAAGCTGGGGCTTTATCTTTGTGACAGTTGGAAGGAAAAAAAAACCAACCCTGCAATGCCAGTCATCTTCTTTTTAATGTCTTTCTGAATGCAGCGAAAGATTAGCCAAATTTGTCCTCACAGTATCTGTGAATGAGCCCAGTCTTACGTTGATTTTTTTAAAATAGTCTGCCACCTTACTTCACTATGACAGCAGTACAGTCACACTGCAGAGGAGAGGAATGTTTCACCTTGTTTCAGTGAAGCCCCTTCTAAATGTGGAAGGAGCAACTTTTACAGGCTGTATGTCACTTCTGGTTTTCGAGCAAGTGTGTGATTATTACAGTGGACTCAGAGAACGAATGAATCAAAAGATTTTGTGATAGATTGAAGTACAGCTATTTTCACATGCAGTTCATCTATACTGCATGTGATACTTGTGAAAGTTTTTTGATTGCCTTAAATGAAGTGACTTGATGCTGTTCCAATTCAGAATGGAGGCATATTTTATGGCAAAAACTGTTAGATTTAAACACAAATAGGTGCTCTTGTTAGTCTTGGCAGACCATGGCGGTCTTGTTGCCGACATGGAAATACCGAATTCTCCTTTAGAAGTGGTCCCAGTGGAACAAATTTCATCCTGGGGAAATGTGCCAGATGGGTAGCACAAGAATTCTCTACAATCCTGAAAATGAGAAAAGAGAATTAAAGCTAGAAGGAAACATGAAGATTTTTATGACTGTTTCATGGTGCTTAGTTCCAACTGATGTTCATTTAGTACATAGTCCGAAGACTAAGAGCTCAGGTCATTCAAATGACAGTTATTAAATAACAACAGTATATTTTCCTACCACATCATTTGTAAAATACGAGCTCTTAAAAATAGGGCTTTTAGAAGAAAAAAACTTTGAACCACATCAGTGTTTGGCAGAGTAAACTGTAATCCCTTGTAGTTAAAAAAGTAGTTTGGTTCTGCAAAGTTAAAAGTAGTCATGGAGGTTTTAGGGTTTTTTGGTGGTGGTTTGCCTTCAGAACTCAAAAATGACCAAGAAATTTATTAAAACACATTTTGCAAAGATTGCTGGATTGTGGGGTGGGGTTTTTGTAATAAATATGGTTAAACCGTAAGAAATTGTGTATTTTGAGCCCTGTCTATGACATGATGTGTCATAGCCCTGACATGACACTATACCTAATCCTTACCTCTCAGGTTACAACGCACCATACCTCTCTGTGTACAGTGAAAATGCAATTGATATTTTTGACGTGAACTCCATGGAGTGGATTCAGACTATTCCTCTCAAAAAGGTAACTTGCTGTTTCTATATCAGTGAAAGAATATGTCTAGACTCAGTATTACTTTGATACAGTCATACCGTGTTTTTAAAGCACATTAGAAGCCTTCATGAAACTGCTTCTTTAAAAATGAACTAAAAGAAGAGCTACTGCAAAGAAACAAGTGCTTTTTGTTTGAAGTATACGATATGAAATGTGTTTTGCATGTGGTTTCAGTGTTTTAGATGCGTGTTCAGTGTGGAGCATATGAGTATGTTAGACTTACGGATATTACTGTAGAGAGCAGTTTCTTGGTATTAATTGCATATGGCTTCACTGGGACTGATTTTATCTGTGTTATTGCCAGAAGATGGTGGATGTTAAACAGGTGGATAATTAAACAGACCTTCAAAAAATCTGTCCTCTGCTGCTTGAGAACAGTGTAGACAGACAGGGTTAGAACATTTTGGTTCAACCAGTACAAATGTTAAAACACCAGGATGATGTCAGGTTTGGATCACTTATCAAAAGGAAGAAGTTTTCAAAAACTGACGCTTCTTTGGTCTTTGAGGTGTTTGCTCAGCTGTATTTGGAAAGAAAAAAGAACAGTGAGGTTTTCCCATAGTTTAGACTGACTTCAACTTTGTATTCATGTCAACATAATTTCTTTAACTGGCATTCCAATGACACAGAACTACAAGAAATTGTCCTTGTGGTCTTGTGTTAGTCATTCAGTATCTCTGCAGACCAGTTTCCCACGTCAGATGCATACCAGGATATTATGGCAATGCTGTAAGGATAAAAAAAAGCAAAGATCAAGGTGCTCAGCTATTAACCATCTTAGAGAAGAAGAATCTGGCTTTTCAGGGGAGATTTCCCCTACTCTTTCTGATGTCCACACTTCAAGTTATTAAGCAGTTGGAGCATTTTTTTCCTACACAGCAGAATGTGATTTAGCACTTTGATTAAATTTGGCTCAAGACTGCCCATTTAATGAACGAAGCTACTTTCAACAAACAAGAATTGCTGCATCTAGGAGACTCAAAAATGGCAATTTGTTATGAAGAGTTTATTTCTAACACAATTTGCAGACCTGGAGAGTGGAATGCTTCTTTCCTTTTGAAGGTGGAAATCACAAATACCAGCAGGTTTTAGCAATCTGTATATACTTTTACCAAGTTGCAAAGCATAATTGTGACATGATACTAGCATAAAATAAAAACACAGTTTATTGCTTTGTGCATCTAATAGAGAAAATGGAATTGTTATACGAAGTAGACTTCTAACAGAACTATTTATTTAAATGCTGTGAGGAATGGTGTTAAGCCTGTGTCTTTAAGTGGAATTTTAGGCAAGTCACTTTGTACTTGTTCTCCAAACAGAAGTTTAAAATCTGAAACTGTTTTTTAACTCTGCTTTGTGGCTTTAATGACTCACAATTGTCATTCTTGAGAGCAGACGTGTGTTACTGGAGATAGGAGACATTGCTCCCTCCAGCCTGCAGTTCTTCTGTGGAGCAGGGTTTGCTGTGGCCAATTACTGGAGCAGTTCTGCTCCCTGGTTGGCTTTATAAGAGTGGTCTTTTTACAGAGTTTATAATGCACCTTGGAGCTTTCAGAATAAGATGCACTATATAAATGTGAGTTATTACTATTACAAGGACTGGTTTTCCTTGTTTCAGGTACGACCCTTGAATACAGAAGGATCACTAAACCTTTTAGGCCTGGAAACAGTTAGATTAATATATTTCAAAAACAAAATGGCAGGTAAGTAAAGAGAAGCCAGTTTTCATCATGCAAATTTTTTGTTCAGAAAGAGCATTTTTCTTTGGCCTGGACCTGTGCATTGTAGAAAGTGACCTCGCGAACGTATGTGTGCTTATTAATTTGGGAAAAAGCCAAAGCCTATAGATTCCACAGTGATTGCAATTATGTCTGCTAGGCAGCTACTCTGAACGGTTTTTTTTTCCCCTTTTGAATATTCAGTGAAGACTTGAATGAAGACTGGAAATCGAAAATAGAATGAGTAGACACTCCCTCCAAATCTGGGATCACCTGCCAGAACGCTGTCTAAAAATGCCTCCACAATTAAAGCTTTAATAGTGATCTTGGCAGTACTAGATTAAAATTAATATTATACCTAACCTAAACAAACCTTTCCCAAGGATCAGAAAGTAATATAATATTATAGAATCATAGAATCATAGAATCGTTTAGGTTGG